GTTGTGCTGGAAGTATTTTTCTGAGAGAAATGTGAATGATCTTTTTAATGAGAGACATTTTTGGCGCTGGAAATGGTTCTCTCTGTATCGCGCTGTATAAATCTATATTGGACCTTTGCTGCTGCCTCTGCTTTCTGGGGAGAGGAACCAAGCCCACCATGTGCCCTCCTGGGCCAGGAACCCTGTATTTGTCCCCCCTGGGAGGGTGTCTCCTTATGAAGAGGGGCCAGTCAGCAGGCAGCCTGGGTCGGACTGTGAATCCAGCTGCTTCTGCTGACTGTTATCCTGGGGCTGGTATGCTTAGCAGCAGTCATAGCTGGCACAGGAGTATGCTGAGCCACACTTGTGACTGCGTTCACTTGAGATTTGGCGTGCAATGCATTTGTGAGTCTGTGCATGTGCTTGTGATCCTGGGCTGTGCATCTGTGATTTTTGTATGTAACCTGGCCTGTGGTTTTGCAGGCCATACACTTGTGAACTTGCATGTGCCTGTAATTCTGTGGCCTGCAATGAGTTTGTCTGATCTGGTACGTAGGTGTGCACGCAAATGCTTGCAATCCTATGGGTGTGGGAACTTGCACACACATTGGTTCCTCATGAGATGGTGGTTGCATGATTAGGATCTCCCTCACTCCCACCTGTGTGTCTCTCTACAGTGAGTTGGGTACTTGCTGCTGTGATTTCTTTGGTGCTTGTGAACCTGTAGACATGCAACGGTGGTGCTGGGTGTGACCTGCTGTGATCTCCCCATTAACACTTGTGTGCTGATGCCCTTGCACGTGCTTGTGATCCTACACAAGTGCTGCCACAGGATTCTACCCTGCATCCAGGAGAGCTTCTGCTCCCAGTCATGCCTTCTTAAACTGCAAATCTCTCTCAAGCTCACTGGCAAGCTCAGCTGCGGCTCTCTCCGCTTGCATGCCTGAGCTTGCAAAAAAGCTCTTGCACGCTATGGCTCTGGATATTTGCAGCATCTCTTGTCTGTCGTCTCTCCCCTTTGCATGCTTTCTGCACCTTGAGACTCACTAGTGAACTCTTGCACGATTTCTCTGCTGCATGCTCATTGGGCTTTCTCTTGTGCTGTTCTAGTCCCACCCCCAGCCACTGAGCACCCTCATACCCCTTGTCTCATGCGCACTAGCCTTATCCCCACGACTCCAGTGGGTCCCAGCACTCACCCCTGTGCCTGGCACACAGCCAGCTGGCTTGATGGGCTAGTTTCACTGCACCACTCCAGCGTGCACAGGTCTGTGAGCAGCATTGGGTGTCTCACGCTGCCCTCTGCATCTGGGTCACTGAGTGCTGGATGCCCTGTGGCGGTGTTTCCTCTGCACAGGCTCACTCACACATACAGGAGATCTCTTGTACCCCTCAGCTACATCAGTTTGCAGACCTAAGCATGTTCCAGATAGGAGATGGCACCCCATAGTGGGACCAATTCCCTGCCTTCCTGAGCTGGCCAGTCACTTTCCAGGAGCTGGTGCCCCCATATTCCCTTCCCCCTCAGCCAGCCAACCCTGGGGCATGGGTAGACACTGACTGTGTGCAGTGGAAACAGACGTGCCCCTCAGATGCCGAAGCACTGTGGCAAGGGGCGGCCTGGCCTGTTTACCTACAAACAGTCGGGGTGGGAGGTGAGTGGTAAACAGCAACTGTACCAGGTTGACAAAACAGATGGAGAAGCCAAACTGTCTGCGTGGGGCTGGGGCCTGGCCTGTGGGTGCAGCGGGACTGGCCTCTCCCCTGGCTTGACTGGGCCTGTGGACAAAGGGCAGAAAAGAGAGGCGCAGTTAGATGGTGAGGAGTACCAGCTACCCTCTAGCTGCTGCTGTATCTTGCTTCTCCAGCACAGGCCCTCTGTGCCACAGGTCCAGGAGGCTTGGCTCGAGCGCTAGATACCTGGTGTCTGCTACACACACGTGGCCACTGGCTCACCGCAGCAGCCAATAAGCCAGCTCCAGCTGCTTGATGGCCTAGGCTAGCCCCTCACCCCTTGAACCCACCTATGCTCATTCCCTTCCCAGAGCCAGGGAGAGAACCCAGGAGTCCTGGCTCCCAGCCCCCCTGCTGTAACCCACCAGCCGCCTCCTCCCCCAGAAGTGCCACCGCTGACTCTGGTGTGTTGGGCTGCAGAGCGCCTCCTGGTGGTGTGGTGAGGATGTATCTGCCATCACAGCCCTGGTGTCTTCATAAGCTGGTGAAAAGGGGTGTGGCAGCCAGAACCAGGCCCACTAGCAGTCCCGACAAGTGGCCTGTCAAGGAGCTCCTGGAAGGAGAGAGAGCATGTAGTGGGGGTCAGAGAGAGGGACCGCAGGGGAGTAGCAATCCTGCCCTGCCCTGCCCTGCCCTGCCTCCTACTCGCCTTGCTCCCTGCTAGTTCTCTCCCACCTCCTGCTGAGCTTCCATTCCCCTTGCTGAACCTCCTTGCCCTGCCCCCATGTCACTTCCTGCCCTAGGGTGCCCACCTGGGGTACAGCAGGCTGACAGTCAGGCACTCAGCCAGGCAGAGCCATTTGGTAGTTATGGTGATGCTGCCCATGGTTGCTATGGTGATGGGTTCCAGGAAACCCTCCATGGCTTCCAGAGAGAAGATGACCCCTACAAAAGTGGGGACAGGTAAGGCTGGATGCCTGGGTCCCATGCCTGGCTTGCGGCGGCGGGCTGGGAGCCAGGACTCCTGGGTCTCTTGCCAGCTGTATGCCAGCTCCTTACCTGAGAAACCCACGGCACAGTGCTTCCAGTGCCGGGAGTCTCCCCGCAGAGCTGCCAGCCCTGCATTCAACCCGAGATGTACCAGCCCCCCCAGCAGTGTCATGGCCCCTAGCAGCCAGCCCGCCTGGGCGCTGCCCACCCTCGCCTCCAGCACTCCCCCCAGCCACAGCAGTGCCCCCATGTTGAGGCCCAGATGCCCCCAGCCCAGGTGGTGGAAGGGGGCCAGAAAGAGGCGCTGCCACTGGCCCAGATCCCAGACCCCCTGCATGCTGAGGCAGGTGTTTTCAGGAGGTCCAAGGGGGCGCAGGTACAGACCCACATTCAGGGCCACCAAGAGGAGGGTGGCAAGGGATGGCTGAGGCATGGACATGGCTGAGGCATGGACATGCCCCCAGTGGAGTGCTGGACTGAAGGGATTCCTGAGGCTCCGGGGCAGGGGGACCCCTGGGCGGGCAGGGCATGGGGCTCCTCTGTCATCCCAGGTCAGAGCCTTTGTGAGATCACCTCTGATGTTGGGGTGCAGGGCATTGTGGGAAGGGGAGGGGGCAGTTCTGAGAGCAGTTGCCCCGAATTGTTTATCTCACCAGGAGCTAAGAATAAAACTTGTTCCTCGGCAGTTCTGGGAAACCGGCAGCAAGACCTGCTGTGAACCCAGAGAGCCAGGCTGACAGGGCTGTGGTTTATGAGTGAGGGGCACCAGCAGGGCTGGGCTGGAAGGGGCTGCATGTTGGGAGCGAGGGGCCTGCTATAACATAACTCCCCATCCAGTGACCTCCACTAATGTTTACGAATGGATCAAGGACTTGGTGGCCGATGGCTCACAGGGCTCAGCCCTGTGATAACAAATCTGTCTGGGCTGCACTATTTACTATAAACAATTCCCCATAGGTCCACCCCTGCTCCCCTTTCATGGATCCCTGCTGGTGCCACTCACTTCTGACCCACAGCCCCTGCTAGCCCTGCTCTCTCTTCTCAGCCCTACTAGTGCCCTGTCCTTCACTCCCAAACCACAGCCCCTGCCAGCCCAGTTCTGGGCTCCCCCAGCTTTGCCGGTGCCCCTCACTCCCAACCCACAGTTCCTGCGAACCTGGCCCTGCCCTCATTCCTGACCTGGAGCCCCTATGCAGTCCCAACCCCAGTCATGGACAGGCTGTGTGTTTCTTCAGGCTCCCTGCCTGGAGGAGGGGCAGCGAGGGGAAGACTGTGTGTATCTATTGCACCAGATCCCGCGTGAGCCTTATCTCAACTCTGCAAAATCTAACTGTCCTTGGTATTAAGGTGCAATTCAAGGGTGACCATGAGAGTTGGAGCTGGTGACCTGCATCCAGCCACGCTGGCAAGCCAGCCTGCAAGGGGCTGCAGGTCAGCAGTGAGGGGCACGAGCAGCGCTGGGGGTAGCCTGGGGCTGGCAAGGACTGCAGGTCAGGAGTGAGGGGCACTGGCAGAGCTGGGCTGGCAAGGACTGCAGGTCAGGAGTGAGGGGCGCTGGCAGTGCTGGAGGGAGCCCAGGGCTAGGTTGGCAGGGGCCAGGGTTGGGAGTCAGGTGTACCATTAGGGGGCTGTCTGTTATGTAGTGTCCAAAGGGACCTTTGATTGTGCAGCGCTGGCCACTCATCCCCACCCCAACATGTGCCTGCATCCTGTGGCCTGTCACACCATGCTGCCACCCAACTCCCTGTGAGTGCTAGGAGCCATCCCCCCATGTCAGCTCCTACACCTGCCTTTGCCATGTTATCCATAAAGTCTCAGCTATACTCCAGTAGTTCAGCTGGGATTTTGCCTGTCCAGAGTCTGAGAGAGGGCAGAGTGATCTTCCCCCATGAATGTCACCCCCATGTGTCCCAATCAAACCATGGTGCCAGCTGCCCAGTACCACTAACTCAGCACCTTCCCTGCTGGGCAGAGCTCCCAGACAGCTGGGCATGTGAGTGCACAAGCACTAGGCCTCTCTTGCAGGGGACAGCTCTGCACCACTGAATATGCACCACTGCCCACTCACAGCCATGCTACGCCTCACTTGCACAGCTGCCTACTCAAGATACACTGTACTTTGCACATGCACAATTGCCCACACAACTGCCAACTCACAGCCACGCTGCACCTCGCACATGCACAATCTCTCACACAACTGCCCACTCACAGCCACACTGCACCAGGCACACACACACACACAATCACATGCACACTCAGCCTGGCACTCACCACTGACACTGTCAGCCACCCAGCTTCACTCACAAGCACATATTCAGCCATGTACAATAACACTCACAATCACCCGCACAATCAAACACACATGCAAATGTGGCCATAAGATAATACATGCACCATCACACAGAGGCTGAGCCGCATGGCTGCATGTACACCATCACACACTCCCAGCCTCTTCCCCCTTCACACACAGTGAGTGTGATTCACAATCTCTCACTGAATTGCACACTTCTCCCCACCTCCCCCCGGTTGGCCTCAGCCCCTCAGTTGCCCCACTAGGGAGCCTTGCAGCAATTCTGGGGAGACCCTCACACAACCCGCCCCCCTCCCTCCGCCACGGGGCTCTCCCAGCCCTGGGCGCTGGGATGGAGCTGTGGATGCAGGGAGGAAGGGGTTAAGGGGGGGAGGGAGCCCCAGCTTTGCAGCTGATTGGATGAGGCATGTCCATATTCCACCGGCCAGGGCCCAACGCTGCCTCCCCATTCGCCGAGGCTCCAGACACCAGAACCGCGTGGCTGAGTCCCAGGAAGGGGGGCGTGGAATCCGCTTCACCAGGCGCTGAGATGCAGCCACCTCTGGGGCGGGGCAACCAGTTACCCAGGGACCCCTCGCCCGGCGCTGAAATGCAGCCACCTCTGGGGTGGGATGGCTGGTTACACAGGGACCCCTCGCCCGGCGCTGAGATGCAGCCACCTTTGGGACCGGAGGAGCTGGAGGGGGGTGTTTGGCAGCCTGCTGGCCTCCCCTCTCCCCCGCTGTTAGCCCTTTAAATCTTCCCCCCTCCGGGATCCTCCCCCCCTTCTCGGCACAGCTATCAATCACCCTGCAGCAGCCGCATGGCACCGGCTGTTTGCCCAGGAGCGGTACAGCCAGACCAGGCGGGAGTCTCTTCTCGCCTCCTCAGGGAACCGGGCGGGGTCACTGGTGCGTGACAGGGAAAGGGGTCGGGGGAGCTTGGCCAAATTCCAGCCCCCTTGTTTTCCGTTTGTCCCTTCCCGTTTAAACCCGCCTTTGCCCTGCTGAAATCCGCTGCGTTTACACCACCCCTGCTGCAGTCCTGCAGATCCCTTGCATGGGTCCCCCCCATTTTTTTTCTCTGTCGAGTCGGAGGAGCGTTTGCAAGCCAGGTCCTGCTGTTTGCACCTTGGAAAGGAGGTGACAACCCCCAGGTCTATGGGCTTTAGGCACTTGTTTGGGTGGGGACAGCTGTGGCTCGCTCTTTCCTTTGCTGCAAGTCCCCAAAGAAACTCCCCCTCCGTGCGTTCACACGGTCCCTTCTTGCAACATCCAGATCTGGCCCCTGCCACAGAGCCAGACAGAGCCCCTTTGCTCCCTTCCCAGGGCTTTTTTCAGAGCATGAAAACCTGGTTCCGTTTTTTGTGAGGGTTTTTTGGACCAGGAACAGCCGGGTGATATAGGAAGAGTTCCTGCCGGGCTGCGACTGGTTTGGTAAATAGAATTTTTCCTTTCCTTGTTTGCATTGAAAGCCAGGCACTGGGCCTGAAATCCACGACCGCATAGTGTCTGTCTTGTGCAAAAAGTATTAAGAACATTTTTTAAATTGCTGTTGGATTTTATTTTATTTGTTGCAAATACCCATTTTGTTCTTTTTTCTTTTTCACCAGGGGAAGGAACCGGCACCGTTGCGCTGCCCTCGCATTTGGCAACGTAGCAGAAAGACTCTGACCCAAACTTCTGCAGGAGATTCCAGACTGGGACAGAGAGAGATTTTTTTCAGCTGCAAAAAAGCAACGTAGCACCAAGTTTTGGGGCTTTTTCTTTCTTTCTTTTTTCTTTTTTTTTTCTCTTCGCTGGTATCCAGTTTTACACCAGAAGGGACAAGAAAACCGCATGGAAAAAAAAGGGGGATGATTTATTTTTCTTCATGTGACTTCTATTAAAATCAAACCTGGGGCCAATTGCAAAAGAAGAAATTCAGACATTCTAATCCCAGTGCAATCAAGGCTGCAGCTAGGGCCTACAAGGGTGCAACGCTGTTTTTGCAGCCACTTGAGATCGCAAAGTCTGTTTCTTTGAAAGAGTTTTGCAAAACACCCCATCTGCTCCAGAGTGCGTATGCCTGCAGAACACGAGAGGAAGCAGTGGAGAGTTTGCGACTGTGCATCCCTTGATGTTCACGGGCCACCGGCAGGCCTGTATCCAGCTGCATCTTCTTGCAGAGGAGTGTGGGGTGAAGGCACCAAACCTCTGGCTCCCAGCGCTGTCGGTCCTGACAGAAAGGAATCAACTCTGGGGAAGGAGATGAGCCAGGTGCAAAGAAGTGCAGAGGGTGCATGATATTTGTGGCACCCCAAAAGAGGCAGTTTCTGTGGCAGTTGCAAAAATGGGGTGCATGCCTTGAAATCCCTCCAAAAGAGGAGTTGCAGAGCACTGGTAGCAGCAAAACCCAAGCATCCCCAAACCTCTGGCCCCCAAAGCAGGCAGGTCGTGTTGTCGTCATACACAGGGTAGGAGGCATGCCTTAATTCTCTGCCTCCTGCAGCTTGGCACACCATGGAGGAGCTGGAATCAGAGGGTGACCTGCCCACTGCTGACGTGTATCTGTGCGGGCACCTGCGGAAGCAGAAGTCGCTCCGGCGCCGGTTCTTCGTATTACGGGCACCCAGTGAGCATGGCCCAGCCCGCCTGGAGTACTATGAGAGTGAGAAGAAATTTCGGGCTGGAAGTGCCCGCCCCAAGCGTAGCTTCCTCCTGGCCAGTGCCCTCAACATCAACAAGCGTGCAGACGCCCGACATCGCCACCTGATTGTGCTCTATGGTCGTGATGGCACCTTTGGGCTGGTGGCTGAGAGCTCTGAGCAGCAGGAGGCTTGGTACCATGCCATGGTGGAGCTGCGCGCCAAGGGTGAGGGCACTGGAGGGGGCAGCACAGATCTGTTGGGGAGATGCTTGTGTGGGCAGTGGTGCAGGGGAGTGAGTGACAAATACATTTGGGAAATCCACAACCAGGGAGAGAACCCAATAGTCCTGGATTCCCCCGCCCCGCCCCCCGTTCTCTCCCCAGCTTTGGGAGGGGAGTGGGGACTAGTGGTTGGAGTAAGGGGAGAGGGGTCTGAGAGCCAGGACTCCTGGGTTCTGTTTCTGGACCCACAGGGGAATATTCCAGGAAGTCTTTTTGCTTAAATATTCAATTCTGTTTCCATCTGTTGACATCTCTCCGCCCCCCCCCCGGCCCCCCCATTTCCCAGTGTGGCCGTAACCCCCTTGGTTCCCATGGCAACGGTCAGTCGCCAGGATGACGTTGGTGGTTGCCACGGCACTGGGACATTTGGGTCTGTTTATTCCTTGCTCCTGCTCTCTCACCTGTGCCTCCCTGCTTCTGGTCACGTGCTGATCGTGCCAGCCCTGAACCCATATCCAAACACTGCCAGGGCTCAATGCTAGGGCCTGTGTAGTCCAGTGCCCCGTCTGAGGGGTGGCTGCATCTCAGCGCTGGGTGAGGGGTCACTGTGTCACAAGAGCAAGTCACGTTCCCCTGTTGACTCCTCCCTCTCCTCCCCTTCCCACAGGCCCGTCGCAACCAGGGAGCGGGACGCCGTTCCGGGAGGTATGGCAGGTGAGCCTGCGGCCCAAAGGGCTAGGACAGGCCCGGAACCTGGTGGGTGTGTATCGACTATGCCTGGCCACTAACACGGTGGAGCTGGTACGGCTGAATGCAGCCACAGCCTGCCTGGTGCTACAGCTGCTTAGTGTGCGGCGCTGCGGTCACTCGGAGAACTACTTCTTCCTGGAGGTGGGGCGCTCGGCTGCCACTGGCCCCGGCGAGCTGTGGATGCAGGTGGAGGACCTGGTGGTGGCCCAGCATATCCATGAGACCTTCCTGGAAGCCATGAAGGCTCTGAGTGAGGAGGGCCGGCTCCGGGGCCGTGGCCAGACCTCCGCCCCCACCACCCATTCAAATGCCGCCTAGCCAGGCAGGCTCTGGGCGCCATTCCGGGGCCAGCAAAGCTGAGGTGCCACCCAGCGATGATACCCTGGCCTCCTCGGACGAGGGTGGGTCGTCAAGCCCTGGGGAGGCACACCCAGCTGACAGCCCTGAGGAGCGAACCCTGGCCTCGCTGCTTCCCATGGCGCTGAGCAAGGGTGGTGCCCAGAGGAAGCCAGCGTCCTACCCAGAGGGGCTGAACCGGGGCGCGGATCCTGGCTACATGGCCATGCTGCCCAGGGTGGCGCCCGGCCCAGGGGAGCCAGACTATGTGCCCATGAGTCCCGGCAGCGCCTCTCCGCCCCAGGGCGATGCTGGTGGCTACATGGTGATGTCCCCCAGTGAGACCTGGGTCCCTGAATACATGAACATGTCCCCACTGTGTCACTCGGCTGGCAGCACCCCCCTACGCCACAGCCCCCTGCCAGGCACCCCTGGAGATGCCCTCTGCCCCTTCCACTCCCTTCCACGCTCCTTCAAGCACGGTACCCAGCTGGCCGGACCCGGCTGCCTCTCCTCTTCCTCCACCAGCAGTGAGAGCTTGGAGGAAATTGCCTCCCGGGGACACTGGCCCCCCAGCTCCTTCCAGAGCCACGCTCCGGTCGTGCCTGCCGCACCCAGGAGCCCCGGGGAGTATGTCAGCATCAAGTACCAGCCCAGCCCAGAGATGGCCAAGATGAGGATGGATCCCAGTAGCCGCCAGCGCTGCTGCGTGGAGACCTCGGGGGGGCGGAGCACCTGGCCCGGTGTCCCCACCGCCTGGGAAGAGGCATCCAGCCCAGAGCCAGGACTCAATTATATCGACCTGGACCTGGCGAAGGAGGAAGTTGGCCCGGATGGGACCCCCCGGGTGGCTGGCAGCACCAGCCCCCATGCCTATGCCCGCATCGACTTCCACCGCTCCCAGGGGTTGCGGGGGTGCCAGGGTGGACAGGATGGGCCAGGTACGTGGTGGGGACAAAGGGCTGAGCAGATCTGCGGGATTGTGGGGGTAGAGGTATGGGGGATGCTGGTTTTTCAAAGAGCTTTTCCCATTCAAAACATAGAGATTTAATTTATGTCCTGGTGGTAGGGGAAGGCTAGAGGTGGGCTTTGTGATCTGAGAAATATCTACCCTAGAAACTGCCATTTTTTGTTTGGATCACCCTTTAGAACCCTTTTTGGAAGGGGCATGCCCTTTTATTCCTAATCATTCCATGTTCAATCACACCACAGGTGAGGCTTTGCATTAGAAACAGATGCTTCTTATGGGACAGAGATGTTCCCCTTAAAAACCCCTTTTTCTGGGGGGTCCCTCAAAACTCTCCTTCCCTGTCCCAGGTTGTCTCCTAATTGTATGGCCGTGCAAAAGCATCTGGGTGGCTTTATTCTGTCTGGAGGAAAGGAAACAAGAGAAGTCACTTGGAAGGGTTGATTTTTTTTTTTTTTTTTTAATTTTAAATCCTCCTTTCTGGCTCTTTCATTCCGTTCTGCCTACCTGTCTGCAGTGTCCTCTGTTGTGTTATTGTATTCCCCCTTTCTCTACTCTGCTGTTGTTTTTACTGTCTTCCAACCCATCCAGAGCTCCATGTCTGTCTTTTCTTCAAGAATGTAAGAACGACCACACTGGTCAGACCAAAGGTCCATCTGGCCCAGTGTCCTGTCTGCCAACAGTGGCTAATGCCAGATACCCCAGAGGGAGTGAACACAACAGGCAATCATCACATGATCCCTCTCCTGTCATCCATTTCCAGACAGAGTCTAGGGACATCATTCCTACCTATCCTGACTAATAGCCATTGATGGACCTAACCTTCATGAATGTATCTAGCTCTTTTTTGAACCCTGTTAAAGTCCTTGTCTTTACTACATCCTCTGGCAAGGAGTTCCACAGGTTGACTATGCACTGCATGAAGAAAAACTTCCTTTTGTTTGTTTTAAACCTGCTTCCTATTAATTTCATTTGTTGACCCCCTAGTTCTTGTATTAAGGGAACAACTAAATAACTTCCCCCAATCACTTTTTCCACAGCACTCATGATTTTATAGACCTCTATCATATTCCCCCCCCCCCCCAC